TGAATTTTAGTCTCTCAACTTTCAAAAATCATAAAATGAAATTTATAAAACAAATAATTTTATTCTAAAATTTTCGGGGTGTTACACCATTTGTGGTTGTGTGATTGGTTGATCCTCTCTTCTATAAATAAAAACAAATAAGCATCTAAATTTAAGCCACAAGTTTGTCAATAACCCAAGCCTCAAGAGTAATACTTGTAAAATTACTCTTGAAAACGAATGAACATTTTGATTGTCTCTACAATATTAATCCCGTCATCCTTGATCGAGCATGTCTACCAAAGTCATCCTTAGGAATCTTGGAGGCAATCTTAGAAACATGGCATCTTCAATCTTTATTGGCACATGAACTTCTAATAGACCATAAACCCAGAATCAGGAAAAAAGAGAAGAACAGTACTACTACACTGTTTTTCTTCTTTAATGGAACTATTTTGCAATCGTGCTGATATCGTAAGAACTTATTTGTTTCTGTTTGAGGTAATTTTTTTCCAGGCCACCCTTGTTTCTTATTTTTCTGTTTTTCAATTTTAGATTATAAATTTGTATATTTTGTATTCCATTTTTCTCAATTCTGAAACCTTTAATTTTATTAAGAGCGCTTTCTAGTTCGTAGATGATGGAGAATTAGAAGGGATTTTATTGCTAGTTTCCAGATTTAAATGTGTATTTTTGGAAATGTTATTGTAGTTTAATTTATTACCTTTTGTAGTATTTTCTTACTTGGTATGGGCCTTTTGAAACCCTATATAAAGGGATTTTATGCAATGTAATTGACAACTTTGAATGAATAAAAATTGATATATTTCTTCCCTAATTTCTCTCTATTATCTCCTTCCTCTTCTCTCTTTTCGCCCTCCTTTATCTTCATCTATTCCCTTTCCGCTTCTCTTATAATTGTTCTTGTTGCATCTTGCATCAGTAGACCTCCAATGGTCTCAGCAAATTTGGTGTAACCATTGGTGTAACCTTTCCAATGGTTACACCAAATTTGATGAAGACCATTGGAGAAGGTTTTAGAGCAAAAAAAATTTCAATTATTTTGTGCCAAATTTTGTTTTACAAATTTTATTATATTATTATTAAAAAAATCGTGAAATTAGAAATTATATTTAGCCCTTGTTTGGTTCCCATTATTTTAAAATTACATTTTTCTATATCTTATTTTCAACCATACATTCTTCAAAAAAATAATATTACTCGCAAATCCAAAACTTTTATTTTTTTAACCATACATTCTGTATCAAAATACTATTCTAAAATGCATTTTAGGCAAAAAAAAAAAAAACGAACAAGTATTTAATGAAATAAAATATTACATTTATTTAACTTGAAAAAATATATATAATACCGCAAATTAAAAAAATTACATTGAACGCACTGGGAAAATTACATATAACGAGAATGACAACTCGGTTTATCACTTATTCGTCGGAATTAGTATGTTAATATATTGTTGAAATAATTATTATTTATTAAATGATTAGAATTTAAAAATAAGTATTAAATAAAAGTAACCATCATATTAAAATAAATATGTATCAATTAAAATCTATTAATGCTAAAATATTAAATAAGGACGTAAATGGAAGAAGCAAAATTTATAAAGTGTAAGCAAGGGTAAAATGGGGTTAAGTGTTGCACTAAATTTGGTGTAACGCTATTAATTACGCTATCCTTTGCATAATATTTGAGGTATAATTTGAGGAGCTTTTGCACTATATTTGATATTTTACACCAAATATAACCTCCCATTGGAGATGTCCTTGTGCACGTCTTCCTTCCCCCCTATTTCATGTTTTTTTTGGCAACGAAAAGTTGAAAATTAAAATTTTAATATAGTGTATTAAATTAGTTATCATTTTTTATTGAATTTATAGACTGTTGTAAATCTCACTACAGGAATATAAGAAATGAATATATAAACGTGAAAAGAGGAACCAGATCATTGATAAAATGGAACTAGATAAATAGAAATATGAGCATAGAAGATGTAGACAGGGTTAAGTATTACTTGAAGAATAAAGCGCCGCAGAGCATAACTTAACTGAAATGCAAAGCCCGAACTTGCTTGG